TTCATCAAAATCTATTTCAAAATCTATTTCATATAAACTAAAGACATGCAAGCATAAATTTCATATTATTATTTTATATAGGGGTGGTTGTATGTATCACTTAAGAAACAGGGAAGACAACAAATGAGATATGATAAGTTATAATCACATTACAATTATGACGATAATGACTAAACTTTTGAATCCTGAAATCCTTGATAATACAAATGTTCACTTTGTCTGGTTTTGTTGCAGTATGCCCCATATTATATTTCTGCTTATTAGATCAGTAAGATAACAATATGATTCAAATTCTATAGCTTATTTTCACTAAAATCTAAATATATTGATATACTTAACAATCATGCAATATAGAATTAATATATAGATATAATAATATTATAATACAGATGTAAGTCATTTAATTTTATCATTAAAAAGTTCTGCAAAATTTTCTTTTTCTATTATTATTATTAATTGGTGGTCTGGCGATCCACCAATTAAATTTTATTTAAAAAATCTGGTACGTGCAGTTGCAACAGCCAAATAATATTTTTAACAAAAAACAAATGAAAACATTCAACAGTTCATTCGGTCTGGACCACTGTTAACAACTCTAATATTATTATCATATGTCTTTTAAATGGGGCATGCTTGCAACAAAACCAGACAAAGTGAACATTTGTTTAACACCACAATTGTATTACAATGCAATGTGATCATGGAGTTGGATCCCACTTTTCTATTATGAATCGTCTCACATCTTTAAGTTTTAACTTCTATCAAATTATTTCTAGTACATAATAATAATAATAAATTGTGATGTGTCACATGATCTCAAGGTGATTCCGCTTCTTCAAACAATTAACTCTCCTATGAGCCACATCGCCCATTTCATACATGTTTGGTATTAAGATGATGCTCTGTACCTTTTGGTGAATAAAGACAAATAGGCTCCTCCCCTTTGCAATTTAGCAAGATGCATCTAAAAATTGATGCTTTGACACCCATAGTAATTGCAGATTTGATTGTAATAATTTTTCCTTTGGGAAATAAGGATCAAGTTTTTTTGCCTCTTTTACTAATTCCAGTACTACATGCTCTTCAAGATATCTCTCATTGTAAATGGTGTAAGGGTTACCTCGATATAGTGGTGGATCTTTATAACTATGACAGTGTTGAAGAATCGTGTAGAGATTAACTTGAGAGTATCTAAGAGGATTATTTATTGCTTCAAGAGAAGTTCCAGCAACTTGTTTCTTGGATCCAACACAAGGCTATTTTTTTAACAAGTGTTCCAAGATAAACTGCTATCGATATGGTTTTTCCGCTTCATAGTGAAATTGATGTTTTAATCTTTCCCAGTACTCTTTTGGTGGTTCTTCATCAACCTCAGCAAAATGGAAAGTTGCTCTCTTGTATGAAGTGAAATAAAGACTAGTGCCGTAAATTATGATGATGATAGTAATTGTATTTACGGCATATAAAAAGTGGTTGCAATTACCTTTGCGACCACTTTTGCAACCATAATTTTTCCTTTTTTGGATTACGGCAATAGTCTTTAAAGTGAAATTGGTTGGAAAAATAATAATTAATCCTAATGCAAATTCCCTCTCCCGACAAATATTATCAAAGAGATCATTCAGTTTTTTGATGATTTTTCCATATACAATATGCATTCTCATACATTCATCCATAAATTTTGTTTGATCATCAAGCCTTTCTTTACTTTCTTTTCTGAAATAGTTAAATAAATAAATGCAGATAAATGAATAAATCTGATTATTCGATCAACTAATTAAATTAAAAATTACCTTTTGCATATGTAACGTAGTATCTTCTGAAAAATTGAATGTACCTTGGTTTGTTCTATGTTGGTGGAGGTTGTGAAAATTTAGTCTCGGTTTTTTCCAAGTTATTTGTGTTGTGTTGCAAGGATTAATCAAAATAGCGTGTAATCGACAACATGTCAACGAGACTACCAGTAGATCAGATGATGGTAAGTCTTCACATACTTGGAAAAAGATATCCAGTGGTAAACTGGCAAATGGTGAGGATTGTTTTCTTCTGATCGAATCTTTATAATTCACACTTAACTAGAGTGACGTCAAGTGGCGATAGCCACCACCACCGATAAACACTTGAACTTTCGCTTCTCCTTTGTTATTGCCTCTTCTTCTTCCACTTCTTGCTTTTACGTCTTTCGGCATCTTTAAACAAAAGAATAAAAGAAGTTTGTGATTTGATCGACGCGTACACATTAATTATTTATTTGCTCTTCAAGATATCTCTCATTGTAAATGGTGTAAGGGTTACCTCGATATAGTGGTGGATCTTTATAACTATGACAGTGTTGAAGAATCGTGTAGAGATTAACTTGAGAGTATCTAAGAGGATTATTTATTGCTTCAAGAGAAGTTCCAGCAACTTGTTTCTTGGATCCAACACAAGGCTATTTTTTTAACAAGTGTTCCAAGATAAACTGCTATCGATATGGTTTTTCCGCTTCATAGTGAAATTGATGTTTTAATCTTTCCCAGTACTCTTTTGGTGGTTCTTCATCAACCTCAGCAAAATGGAAAGTTGCTCTCTTGTATGAAGTGAAATAAAGACTAGTGCCGTAAATTATGATGATGATAGTAATTGTATTTACGGCATATAAAAAGTGGTTGCAATTACCTTTGCGACCACTTTTGCAACCATAATTTTTCCTTTTTTGGATTACGGCAATAGTCTTTAAAGTGAAATTGGTTGGAAAAATAATAATTAATCCTAATGCAAATTCCCTCTCCCGACAAATATTATCAAAGAGATCATTCAGTTTTTTGATGATTTTTCCATATACAATATGCATTCTCATACATTCATCCATAAATTTTGTTTGATCATCAAGCCTTTCTTTACTTTCTTTTCTGAAATAGTTAAATAAATAAATGCAGATAAATGAATAAATCTGATTATTCGATCAACTAATTAAATTAAAAATTACCTTTTGCATATGTAACGTAGTATCTTCTGAAAAATTGAATGTACCTTGGTTTGTTCTATGTTGGTGGAGGTTGTGAAAATTTAGTCTCGGTTTTTTCCAAGTTATTTGTGTTGTGTTGCAAGGATTAATCAAAATAGCGTGTAATCGACAACATGTCAACGAGACTACCAGTAGATCAGATGATGGTAAGTCTTCACATACTTGGAAAAAGATATCCAGTGGTAAACTGGCAAATGGTGAGGATTGTTTTCTTCTGATCGAATCTTTATAATTCACACTTAACTAGAGTGACGTCAAGTGGCGATAGCCACCACCACCGATAAACACTTGAACTTTCGCTTCTCCTTTGTTATTGCCTCTTCTTCTTCCACTTCTTGCTTTTACGTCTTTCGGCATCTTTAAACAAAAGAATAAAAGAAGTTTGTGATTTGATCGACGCGTACACATTAATTATTTATTGTTGGCACTTGGTGTTGCACAGGTTTTTTTTTGTTGACGCGAATTGGTTTTTTTTTTTTGGAAAAACAAAAAAACAATTTATTTTTTGACAGAGTCCAAGGTGACAAAACGTGAGTGTTGTTGTTTGGTTTGGTTTGGGTCTCCTAAAGAAAACATGTTAATAATAGAGGTGCTTTTTTTTATTTGTATTGATATTTTTATTTTAGTTAATAAATATTTTAATTGGAATCAAAACGCGGAGCAGATCTTGCTGGGTAATTATAAGATTCTTACCAACAACAAACGATTGGTATTTTGCTTTGCGTAATCGTAATAATAATATTATTATTAATATATAATTACAAGAAGATGTCAAGGCAATACACCATTTAAAAAGAAACAATTCAAATATGCAATGTTTGATTATCGGAAATTGGCAGGCGTTGAAGCACGCACGCTACCTTGAACACATTACAGTCATTCTCACACGTTCCTCGTATACATAAGGCTAATCTGATCTGATGGATCGATGATACAATGATGCTGCAGAATTCCAGGGGTAATACATGGCTCTGGAGTTTACCGAGACTGCACCAATTGTCAATGATGCTTTCACTAATTTTCCCTCACCAGAGATGCTGCTGGCATGCTGGCTGAAAAGTTGCTTGCTACGATCCCACCTCTAGGGTAAGGATGTCACTGTGATCAAGTCGCAACTCTGTTGATGAATTGTAGTGCCATGTAAACATCAAAGCAACAAGAATCTGCAACTCGTTTCAAGCACAGGAGGTTACAATTCAGAACCGGGTTTGTGACCCTGAAATTGCATTTGGGCTCTGATGTTAGAAGGAAAGTTGTAAAATAGTGTTTGTTTGTATAATAATTTTCCTAACTTCTCTGTTTTTCTGATACTAATCAATTTATAAATTTTGTGTAGGGGACTATATGGATTTTTGCCCAATCAGTCCTCTGTCCTGTAGGTTAAAATTATTGCATGATTATATACATCTTTGTCAGAAATATGGCCAATAAGAAAAAAGTCATAAAATGGTTCGGATTTTGGTATGTTTTGTTTAAATTAAACATTCCCATAAATCCTCTGTTTTTCTTTAATTTTTGTTTGACCAACTGAACTTGTTATTTAAATGGGTAGGGTTGTTGGTGAGTAGGCATGCCACTGACAAGACAGCAACCCAGGTTGCAAACTCCTGAGTTGCAGAGTTGCAGACACCAACTTTATTCTAGTGAAAGAGGTATAACACAAAGCAATCACCACACAAATGCTGATCCTCATCATTATCAATGCCCATATGGTAACAATCAAGCCTAGTCTGAGGGGATGATAAGGGAAAGTTTGTCCAAAGCCTTCCAACATGTTTAGGTCTGTTTCACCTGTGAGAAAAAAAATTCCATAGTGTTGGATTGTGCTTAATTGTGCCATCTTGCATGCTGGTGACAGGAAAGTTTTAATTAAATCTGACACCTGTGATCAACATCAGATTATTTGTGATTTTTAAGGAACTATCTATACAATTAGTGTTTGTATTCATGATATTCAATATTTGTAAAACGATCAACATGATATTTGAATATCATGGAACTTTACATCCAGAACACCACTATAGAATACAAAAAACTTATTGTCAATCTTGACAGATTTAGGTCGATTATAGTTTATACATGTAATTTATGATTCATTGGAATTATATTTGGAAGAAGGGTATTTCACCAGAGAACAAGTTGATTTGGTAATAGTGGCTTATTATGTTTGTGCAAGCAGTTAAGAGAACAGGTTATGCCACTTGTTGATGCTTGGGGGCTGCCTGACTTTGTTATTAAAGCTCCATCAGGAAGATATGATGGTGATATTTATACTGGTAATTAATTATATTATCTAACTGGAGGATGGTGTATTTGAAGTTTTTTTCTTATTTTTTGTTTTTATAGCATACTTTGATGTAGTTAGATCTGCACCTAATTGTATTGGTGTACAAAATATTGGCTGAATCACATTAAACCATTTACTAACTCTACTGCTAATTCTAATAACCCACCATGCTGGTAGAGTGTACATAACACAAGTTCATTAAAAATTTATTCATAATTTATTGCAATAAAAATAATTATACATTATGTGATGTACTGCAACTATGGTTGCTTGCCAAAACTCCTCTGGAAATCAATCGGCAGAGTTTCAGCAGGTAACACACTAATTGTTTGTTAGAGTTTTGGCAGAGTTTTGCATTTAGGGATTTTGACAATTAGCAGAGTTTCAGCAGGCTTCACACTAATTGTTTATTAGAGTTTCAGCAGTGTTTCAGCAGTCATTAAGAGGTTTCGGCATGCAACCTTAACTGCAACAAAGCAAAATGAGCATTTTTGATGTCAAAAGATTTCGTGGTTCATATTTAGTAACAAGATACTGTTAAATCAAAGGCATTTGTATAGGGAAATTTCTTTGATTAGCAGGCAAGAAGGATACTATTATATAATCAATTATTTAATAATTTGATTTTATCAGGAGCCCTGGAGGAATTAAAGGATCTACAAGGCTAATAAAAACTGTACTTAGAAGTTTGAGACAATATTAAAATATTTAAAGCTCATTCCACCATCATTTAAAAGAAAGGTCTTTCTTTGTATTTATCAAATAATTATCACATGTTCTTAAATCAATAGTTGAATATTATGAAATTTTTAACAGTTTGATTGCAAAGTAAAGTTGCTTAATTTCACTTTTAGTATGCCTTATTGAATAAAAGTTTAAAAGCAGAAAAAATAATGTTAAACTTCTTAATTAATATGAGAAAGAAGCCCTTGGATTGTATAATTTACAATTATATACATCACAGTATTTATTTAATTACACTGTTGATGCAATTTTCTAGGGCAATAACAAATAATCAATTGTAAGGCAGAATTCTGTATTATCCTACCTGCTGAATGCTTAAAATTAGCATGGAGGTCTCATCCTTTTGTCTACATTGTATTGATTAATTTTATATTTGCCAATCAAAATATTGCAAATTTCAGGGATATATATATTGTCATAGTGCTCATTTTTGTTGGGCTAGGTATTTGGATTTCCTTGTCTGAATCTTCTAGATCTGTTTCTGAGATTATTTCCTTCTCCTTATTTTTCTTTTCTGGACTTGCTTCCTCACTGCTTGATGTATGTCGAACATACAATGTATCTGACTCTTGGTCTGAGTTAATTTCATAAGGTTCAACAGGTTCCTGATTTGTTTTGTTCTCAAATTCTGTTAATTTCTTTGCTAGACTTTCCATTGTCTCATCACCGTCCTCTTGGTCTGAACCTGTAGAGTCTGTGTCTGGAGGTCTCATCCTTTTGTCTACATTGTATTGATTAATTTTATATTTGCCAATCAAAATATTGCAAATTTCAGGGATATATATATTGTCATAGTGCTCATTTTTGTTGGGCTAGGTATTTGGATTTCCTTGTCTGAATCTTCTAGATCTGTTTCTGAGATTATTTCCTTCTCCTTATTTTTCTTTTCTGGACTTGCTTCCTCACTGCTTGATGTATGTCGAACATACAATGTATCTGACTCTTGGTCTGAGTTAATTTCATAAGGTTCAACAGGTTCCTGATTTGTTTTGTTCTCAAATTCTGTTAATTTCTTTGCTAGACTTTCCATTGTCTCATCACCGTCCTCTTGGTCTGAACCTGTAGAGTCTGTGTCTGTATCTTCGTTTTCCTCCTCTGTGGCTTCTTGTTTATCCTCTATATCCTTCTCCTGATTGCTTCCTGTGGGTTCTTCCTTTTCAGTTATTTTGCTACTTCCTCCTCCAGAAGTATAGCTAGATTCACTAAAAATAAGATAAGGAGTTACCTCTGATTGTTTACTATTATCTTCCTCTAAAGTTATTAAATCTTCCTCTACTGCTTGGTTTGCAGTGTCTTCCTCTGACATACAGTTCATGTCAGTTTCTAAAAGATTAAATTGAATAAGCTCAGAATCTGTTACTTCTGATGGGTTTGAATCAGTGTCTTCAAATAATTTATAGTCCCCAGTTTGGGTCTGATACTCCTCCACTGGATACTCTGTGTTGACTTATATACGTCTTTATTTCTGCCCTATAATTAGGTTGGTGACCACAATACTCAATTCCAAGTAGTGTGAAGACTATCCTGAAGATTGTGGTCCTGTCGTCGTCGCCAAAATGTGAGATCAAAAATTCTGTCTCACACAAATCTCTTGGATTTGGTTAAAATATTATTTATCCCTTCCTATGGCAGTATCCAGTTGTGTAATTCTTTGATTACTTTCTTTCACTATAGCGCTCAAGCTATTTAATTATTTACAGGGCAAGTTTTCTTACTTCCCTTCCGATAACGTTTTCTCAGCAGCTCTTTGTTATCTGCCTGAGCCGGCACGTCTCTCACTAAAAGCACTAAAAGAAAAAAAAAGAAATAAAAAAAAAATAATAAAATTAATAGAAAATAATTATGCACGGGGTTAGTATAAATTCGTCTTTAGGGATAGATTTATTATCATTACAAAAATATAATGTTCAAAGTTAACAAGGACAAGGATTATTTATAATAATATTTGAGTTTACTAAAAAAACTAATAAAACTTTGAGTTAAAAACTAACTAATAAACTAAAGATTACATGAAAGAGAAATTTACAACGTATTTATACATTTTAGAGGTTCTATCATCTAGTTCTCCGATT